TTGCGGCACTCTAAATCCACATTGACTTGGTTTGTGAAAATCCAATCCATAAAACTGGAGACCTAACTCCTGATTATTTTCAAAACCCTTTAAAATGTGTGATGTTAGTGTGCCTTATACTTTTTAGCCAATGCTTTCCTCTTTCCTTTTTGTAGGGGAGCTATTTCTGCTGATTTAAGTGAACCTGTTATCTCCCCTGAATCCACGTTTTTTATCCACACTACATTGAGCACTCGTGCTAATGGCAACTTACATTTCTATATAAACATAAGAGCTCCACGTGTCTTGACTCGGGGTAGAATGTATGGTCATGACAACTCTCTCTTGAAATTTGCACTGTCAGGGTTGGAATATCATTCGAAGAAGCTGTCCAGATCTTCCACTTTCGTGTTGTTTGCCGAGATGTTAAAAATAGCTTCATACTCTTCTTTTAGGGTTTCACAAAGTTCCTTGTCATCCTTTGTGCATGAACCTTCACTCAAGAGTAGTTCCGATATCATTGGAAATTTTGTTATATTTTACACACAGAAATCACAATAGCATGATGCATCAAATGAACAAATCCACAAGGGCCGTGACAAGGGTTCGAACCTACGTCCGAAATGCTCTGTCTGTCTGACAGAGATGTCTGGGATGCTCTCAGACGTAGGTTCAAACCCTCGTCACGACCCTTGGGGATTTGTTCATTTGGTTTATTTTGTTTTGCATATGTGAAGAAACCTTTTGGAGTTATCTTTATCTCCTGTATGGCTTTGTTTTAATTTAATTTCTTCACTTTGGTATGATTACTTTAGCTTCAACTCAATTTCTCCACTCTCCCTGTTTATAATATTTTTGTTGGGATAGTCATATCTACTTAAAGGGAATACCGATTGAACTTTAAAGCTGTTCAATTTCAATTTAAAAACCAATTGTTATAAAAGAGTACTGGTAAGAATGTACAGACAAAAGTTTCAGACCCATAATACAAATATTAGAAACCCACGCAAAAAAAAAAGAATCTAAATTCAAAATCAAATTTAAATAAATTTTATATCTATTGCACTACACTATCGTAATAGCATCTAATCTTGAATTCACATTGTAGATTATATTCAAATACTATGTCTAATTGCAGTATTTAAAACAATTGGGTCCCCCCCCCCCCAAAGTATTTTACACCAAAATTACGCATTTGAAAATGTACAGGTCAATGAAAATGTCAGGGATGATTTACCTCTAAATTGCTATACCTTTTGTTGGGGATATGTACCCCATCATGTCAAATTTTCTGCGAAATATCTAATGAAACAAAAGAAAAAATATTTTAAAACCCCTCCAATTATTATTTTTCGTGAAATTCAATTGTGCCGATACGTAAATTAGAATATAATAGTACTGGATCATATATTGACCTGCATTTGCATCGTTGCAACATTACTGCTTAGCATAATGGACTCCCTAGAATTTTTACTGCTTTAATGACATTTATTTATTGACTATAAGGAGTGATTACTTATAATGCACTCTGTAATACATCTGTACCACAAAAACAGCTACAACTGTAGTATGAATACTGGAGTAATATGCAGAGGTGAAATTATACTTGGATGGGATGATGCATTTTATGCGGGGTGTGTAACAGTGAATAATGGCAGTGGGGTGAAGGGGTATGACTGCTGGGTCATCGCAAGGTAGGTGGTGGCCTGGCCTGTCGTAGTCGAAACTCTGCTGTGGGGTACTCACCTAATTGTGCTTGCGGGGGTTGAGCTTTGGCTCTTTGGGTGTAGTTGTAGCTGTGACACTGGTGTGCATATATTGTACTTCACTTTGCCAGTTACAGTACCATGTATTCCTAGTATGCCACCTTTCGAAACCTCTTTCTTCTGGTTCTAACAAATTATTTACCATTTCTCGCAAGTCATTTTCCTGTTTGCCACTCCTCTTCTGGAGTACTCTGCTTCTGATGTGAAAATCTGGGCAGTATGTGTCATAGCATTTTCTTAAAGAAAATTTTCACTCATTTGGATAGAAATACTTGCATACTAATCCAAAGCAGCATTTCCCTTCCTAAGTAGTTAGGCAAAATTTGGGATGAGGAGTAACTGCATTCTAATACCTTTCTCTTTCCAGAACATCTATGTTTGCAAATGACATTTGAATACAAATTTGTACGTCTTAAGTCTTTAGTGTGTGTCCGTCTTTTTTATCAATGTATGTTGTAATGTCTGTACTGGTCCAGCAGTCTGTGCTGTCTGATGTCATCATCTTTCCTGGGCTTTTATTTCTTGTTAAGTGTCATCCTGGTCACAGCTTCAGCTCCTCTCTCAGGATTATTTTGTCCAACTCTGCCTAGACAGTTGGTAGGTTTAAAAAAAAAAATCAAAATGTTTTTCTTTCAGTTATGAGACAAGTTATCTAGGAGTTTTATTAACATGGCCCAAGCTGGTAAACCATTGTTACATATGCAAAAAAATGGCCTTCTAAAAAGCCCTAATTGATATTCATTCCATCACAAAAATGTGTTCATGTTTGCACAAAAATGTGTTCGTGTTTATTTATATAGAGTATACACACACACACACACACAGTCATTGAGACGAGACCTCTCTATGGAAGACAAAACTGAACCTTGCTGAAGTGAAACACTTAAAATGAGAATAAAAATGAATGAAATTCTTCTCTATTCTAGGTGACAGGGATAGGGAAGCCAGCGAGACGATACGTGAAAGTACGTAAATCAACAAACTCGTTAGAGAAAAAAGTGTGAAGGGCAAAGTAGGAGGCAACATGTGCATACTAACATGGATGGGGTAAGGTAAAAAATACTGGTTTTAAATTATATAATACAGCTTAAGATAGGGGATATTGTTGCACTAGCAGAGACAAAATTACAAGATAAGAATTTAAGTGAGATGGTATTCCTGAGGAGCTATACTATTTGGAGATGCTTTAGGTAAGTAAGAAAAGTAAGAAAAATTGGAAGTGTTGCAATCCTGGTGAAGAAACTGCTGCTAAAAACGCAAGAGAATTGATACTTGAAAACCATCGAGATGTAGACATAATGGTGCTGGATATTTCCAGTTAGAACGATAAACTAATAATCATTACTGCACACAGTCCACCAGCAAACAATACATAGATTGAGGAGCAGCTTGCTGACAAGAGGTCCTTATAATGATCATAAGAGAAATTATTGTAAAAGTAGATAAAGATAAATCCTGATTGTTGATACTTGGAGACTTAAATTTAAAATCGATAGTGGGAAGACTATGAAGCAAGAACAGAAGATTTTTGGACTGCCCAATTCATAAACCTCATCCTGGAATATTTCATGTAAAATAGCCCACACGAATAATGCTCCATCATCGCTGGATTTGGTATTACCAGCAAAGAATTAGATATGTGACATTCAGTACCTTCCTTCCTTGAGAAAGAGTGACCATGTCCTGTTGGAAATTAGATATGCCATGCGATATAATCTAGAGTAGAATGGGTAAATTGAAATAGTCGACAAACTTGATTTTAAGAAACTTACCAAATTGGCAAAAACAATAAATGAGCTATATGCCAAATTCTGTGAATGATACGATGAAGGTACAAAAAAAATATACACAAAAACATATAATACAGGACCAGAAAACAGGATTGGTTCAACAGAAATTGTGGAGGGGTTGGGGGGAGGGGGGTAAAGAGGGAAAGAAGAAAATGGGTACGTTATATGAAGAGACCAAACCCCCAAACATACCATGAATACAAACAAGCAAGAATCAAATACACAGCAGTGAACAGAGGCAGAAAGGAGCTTAGAGAATAGGGTAGCAGACAAATTTAAAACCTAAGACAAATCTTTACATGCAAAGTTGCATGTAAAGGATAAAATCCAGTGATAGAGAATGGGGAACAGGTTCACTGAGAATGAAAAACAAATGTGTGAAACACTAAGTGAACAGTTCCAAAAATGTGTTTTTGTGAAAATGAGGATTCCAGAGAGCCAGACCTAATGCCAATTCCAGAAATCACCATCGAGTACATAGAGTTAGGCATTATTTTCTCCCACTTATATTATTTATAATTATTGATTTACACAATTTAAATTTACTGAGTGCTCTATGCTTTACTGGTACTGGTATATTATCACAATCACAAAATTACATAACTCTTGAAACCTTTCTTGGTAATTAGCATACCTACACGACATTTGACTTTTTTAATTGAATACAAAGTTCAATGTCAATCACCGCACTTGTTATTTTCTAACCAATGTGCTACACGTCATAAAAGTTACTTACCATTTTTGGTCCCTATAATACTTAATGTTCACAGATATAATCAGACAAAAATATTTTTATAGCAATGCAGACACATTTCCCTCTCCTTCCATCTTCATCATGTGTGTTACGGGCTATTCATGCCTGTGCCACCTCTTGGGTGGCTTAATCTTCATCGATCAATCATGTGTGACCATGTGGGCCACAGAGGTTTTGCAAGAGCCACCACTTCAAAGAAACTGTCATTCCCCCAGCAACACCATTCCAACAAAGACCCCCAAGTCTTTGAAGAGATGGAGAGATGAGATAAAAGAGAGCAAGTGTACCTCTATGTACTTCCTGGCCTTATGGAACTCATCATGGATAGGATGCAGCAAGAAATCTAGTTGGAAATCATGGTAAATATACGCACACACATAACACATGAGGACTCCCTGAATTGGCTGACCTTGTTGACCAGACCCCACACTAGAAGGTGAAGGGACGACGACGTTTCGGTCCATCCTGGACCATTCTCAAGTCGATTGCGAGAATGGTCCACAATCAATCATTCTCACAATCGACTTGAGAATGGTCCAGGACGGACCAAAACGTCGTCGTCCCTTCACCTTCTAGTGTGTGGTCTGGTCAACATTCTTCAGCCCTATTGTGACTCATCGCCTGCATTGGCTGACCTTATTTGTAACTAATTATAGATGATACAGTGAGAAACACCAAATGTTAGCAATATCAGAGCAGATCAAAACTCACGTGGGTGGATGTAAACAAGGAGAGGCATGCGTGCCCCTGCAAAATGAAAAGTAAGTCTTTTATTTTTGTAATTCGTTAAGAGTAAATATTTATCATATTATAAAAATAACTGGATAAATTAAAGGTATACATGACAACTAATATTTTTTAGTAAAAGTATTTGTTAATGCTTAAAATATGGTCATTGTCACAGGCTGAATGTCTAGTGCAATCTATTATTAAGATTTATATTTTGAATCAATGTTTGAATACCAATGTTGCCTGTATGCTTTCAATAGGATAATGGTGTCTCCCAATAGTCTTGGGGAGGTCACAAAATTTAGATTCAAGGCAAGAGTTCCTGGTCCCTCTAGCAGCAAATGATGATGACCACACTTACCTAGTACAAACAAAAAATAATGATCTTCACTGCACAGTATTTATTTTATATGTAGGGGTATGGTAGTGTAGTAAGCCAGTTGTGGCTGGCCCAAGGACCATGGTTTACAAAATATCGGCATTTTTCACGAAACTCGAGATTAAATCACATATGGTTTTCTGAAGAGTTCCAATGCTTACTCCTGCCACTTACCCGCGCATTTTCATGGTTTACTTGAAAACGATTAATGTCAATTCATTCAGATAACAGTACTATATTACATTTTCCAAAACATATTGGGAAGGACTGTTGGGACAGAAAGTGGGTATGGTAGAGAGGTGGTGGGGGAGTCGCATTAGAGTGGGAAAATGAGGAGAGGGGAGAGAGATGGTTGTATACCAGTCTACCAATCATTTGAACATAATAAAGGAGCTGCAGAAGGCCATTTGTCCCATATGAGGCAGCCTCTATTTATATCCATGGCAAATGATTATAAATAGGTGCTGCCTTTGGGAGGATATGAGTTTGGGAATACATACATGGGAGACAACTCAGGCGAATACGGGGTGAATACTTATTTATAATCACCCCGATTAACGTCATTTTGATTTTACGTCGTTAGAAAAAATGTAACATCACAATTGAACATCAGACAGGAACAGTTTTCTTGTTTGCTTCCAAACATACGATAATAATAATAAAAAAATGAAAGCTTATGGTACTTATAGAAAATGAGGTAAAGTGTACAAGGGCTAACTTAGGGCTAACTTAAATATTGCGTATGTCACTTTATACAGTACTTTACCAAAAACTAAATTTTTTGTTTACCAAAAATAATAGCACAAAATACAGTATTTTTTGGGTTTTCAGCAAGATTTGCCAGATTCCATGTTAAATTGCTGTGTTAGCTCACTAAGAAGTTGATAAGGATGACAAACTAAGCACGCTTGACACATTCACACAGCCTTTAATTAACCAATGGAGAACCGATTCTACGGGATGAAATATGAATAGAAAGTGTGAATAAGAGGACATTCAACCCAAGGCAATACGAGTGTTTACAAAATTTTTATAAGAAGTTTTCCAGGAATTAGACAAACTCACAGTTGCCCTAACTGAAAATGATCCTGAAAATGATCCTGGTTGAGAACATTTTGAGAGTGAAGAATTGTGACAGGAAGAATTTTGTATAGACTTACCAGGAAATTTATTAACACAAGGAAAAACCCAGCCAGCATTGATTGTAGTGGAAATGCCTCTTTCTGGTAGAGCCCCGGTGGCTCCCTGTAGTGTATTTATAGCTATCTCTCCGAGATTCTTCCAAACTACCAGTCACATCACTTGCCCGAGTTCATTTGGCCTACCAGGGACCAGAGCCAAAACCTAGCCCCTTCACACGAGGCAGAGAGCAAATGACATTCCCCATTTCACCAGGAAAGCATCCAAAAAGTCAGCAAAGCTTTACCGACAACAGCTCGGTTCCCAAGACCACTTAAATGCCAAATAACCCTCCAAACAAAACAAACAAAATCAAACGCAAAACTATCTAAAACCCGTAAGTACAGAATGCCGCCACTAGGCAGATTGGGGATCAGACTAGCATCTGCCCACACATCACTTCAGGAACAGATAAACATTGTCATGAACCAGTGAACATGAGAGGGAGAGAGGGAGCCACTGGGGATCTACCAGAACGAATTTCACTACATTGATTGCAGAGTTTTTGGGGAAGCCCCTTGGTGGTTCCCAGTAGCGAAGTACCCACAGAAAAACAGAGGGACTTGCCAGAGAGGAGGAAGAGGGACAGCAGTCACCAAGATTTAATGAGACCGACGACCAGGAAACACGAACCACAGACTAAAGATGACCAGGGACACTGACTAAATACAGTGTTGCCATGTCCACCAAAACCCCCAAGCCCAAATATTAGCCTAAGACATCCTGTACTAGTGAAGAGCACTGAGTGCAGCATATTTGCATACATCATGGGCCTGGGGGAAGATCACATGCTGGCTAGCCTTGATGACATTGGACAACCTGAGAAATACAAGTCTTGGAACAGGGAACCAAGAAAATTGGATCAACCCAAATAACATCCACCCAGGCTGAGGCGTTGGCATTCAGATAGTGATGCATTTCCCTCACCGGACAAATGATGCATTCCCAGCCAAATCAACCAAGCATCAATAACCAAAGGACCCAGCTGGAAGCCCACCATAATTGCAAATGAAGAAAATGCCCATCAGGACCAAAAGAGTAGAGCTCAAGCGTCCAGAAAAAGCGTGAACCTTACCAACCCAACAACCAGAGGCAAGGGCCAGCAAAACCACCACTTAAAAAATAAAAAAATCATCCCAGACAGGAGCAGCAGATGTGAACCTAGGGAAGATGAGAAATTCTAGAACCCTGTTGAGGGACAAAGATGACTCAGGAGAAGCATTAGCCGACCTGAGGTGAAAAAAGGCTCAAGACAACTTGCGGAACAGAGGTGCAGAAGAATTGACATTGAAAGGCCACAGCAGCAGCTCCGCGAGCACCGCACGATAAGAGGTGATACCATCTTGAAAAAAATTGTCTGCATCCCTCCTGGCTGCGAGAGCCTCGGTACTACCAGAGCCACCAAGGCTGGCACATGCCGCTGCAGCTCACAACACAGCAGCACAAGTCTGAGGCCACAGCACCACTTAATCACAAATAAAATAGGTAACATCAATTATTTTGAATTGATAGTGTCATAGATGATCCTGATTGTAATAAAAATTATGAACAAGGTTCAGCCATCAACGAACACAACACTAGTTATGCTGTTCACAGCAGGAAGAAGACATTCACAGCAGGAGGCAGACGAGGTTTGTGAATCATCTACTCATCATGCAATGTGACCTTATTTTCCTTTAGAAAATAATCTTGTGAAATATGATTCATATTCATGATTTAGTGACAGGACTCTGATAATAGCAATGTGTGTAATATATTCCTGGGTATTTTGCTCCATCAGGTGAAGTCATCTGTTGTAATTAGCTGATCATAGCATGTAGCTATGCTGACTGCCTGCTGATGATTTCGAGGATCAACATCCTTATGGCCCAATCTCTAACCAGGTCTCCTACAGTGCTAAGATTTCAATACCCCCCACACACACCAGAATTACTTAGCAGTTCACTATGGTTTATAAAACTATAGATGTATTGTATATAATGTGGATATATAGTGTAATAACAGCAAAAACACTTTTATTGACCTAAGAATATAATATATGAATCACTAGATAGGAGCACCATATTTTTAGCATAGTAATGTTCCATGCATTTAACTAAAAAATTTCCTCAAATTACACAATATTGAATATTACTGCAAAGAAACTAGATAAAAAGCCAAAGACATTGAAATATTTATGTAAAAATATATTTGCGACAGGCACCCGACCACACTGCTGGGCCAGAGCACACCGGTGCTGGTGTGTACTCTCTGTCGGTGCCTGAATATTACCACACGTTTCATCCCATCACACTAAGTATATCGCATGTTTTTGTTTTTCCCATATCAGAGAACACATTTTAACAATATAAGAAAAAACTAATAGTGCAGCACAGTTGTTAAGGGTTAAAAAATGCCTTACCCAAACAGAAGTGAAAAATGCAAATGTGATGGCCATCAAAGTTAAAAAGCTTCAAAGCATATCTCCAAACTGCAGTTTTAATTACAGAATCAGACACAAATGCCTAAATAACACACAAAACAAATAAATCCTACAGGGACAAAACACATAGACCACTTACACCATGAACTAAAGAGGCAGGCAAGCAAGACGTTAGGAAAAGCAACGAGGCAAAACAGACACTCGAGTCCCAGACATTTGTTCTTCAGAGCCCTTGCCAAAAGCACAAAACCCCTAATACAAATTCACAGGTAGATCCTGCATGGTAGGCTTGTCCTTTAACATTCCCTGAGTCTATAAAAGTGCAAAGTAGAAAAGGAAAATCCTATACCTTCAGTAAAGAAAAAAAAGAAAAAAGAAAAATGAAAGCAACCTAAACAAAAGACTGCCTTCTCCATCAACAAGTCCTACTGAGAACAATAAATCTCGTGTATTGCTTAGATGCAAGATGGCTCAAGAGGAGGAAACCCTCAGTCACATGGCAGGCATCAGCAATGCAGTATTGGTAGAAATAGGGACTATGGGTAGCAAACACAATCAAGTGTTAAATAAGAAAAACAATAACCCCTAGCAAACTGAAATTCCAGGGAAATCTAACCCCCACCAAACTAAATAAAGGGACAAACTGTAGAGAATGCAGCAGAGACCACAGCAATGAGAATCTCCTCAGTGTAAATTTAAAACGTAGGAGGTAAACGAAGTTCGCACTGTGGCTCTAGGTGAGCTAGACTGCCCCACACACACTGGCACCTCAAAATTCCAAACCTCCATATAAAAGATCTCTGAAATCGACCAAATGTAACCACTTGAACTAGGAATAAAAAAAAATGTCATTCTAAGAAAAAAGTGAAATTGAAATTGTCTGTTCAAAGTTTTTTTTTTTTTTTTTTTTTTTTTTTTTGTAGTCTCATTTTCCAGTTTTTTTTTTTTTACTTATAAATATTATTCCAGACAATACATACTTATCTTAAGAATGTTTTACTAAGCTTGTACTGTATTAGAGCTGCATAAGAGAATTTTGTTCTGGTGCATTCGAAGCCTTGCTGGGTACATATGCACTGCCCAAGAACTTTTTGTATGAGCACGCGGAATAACCTCTCGGAACTCAAGTGTTTTTGTCATCTATAATTATCTGCAATTTGAAACCATGTCATCTAGCAAAAGTGGTGTGGTGGCCAAACTCGTACAGTAGTATGGCACTGGCACTTGCACAATATTGAATACTGAAAATCATAAAGTTTGTCAGAGGAAAAGCAGTGATAGAAAAGGTAGTAACAAAATCTATTGAAAAAAAAATAAAAAGTTTGGAGTAGATTGTGGACAAAGAGTTGACAGTAAACTCGAGAAGGATATGGATATATGGACTCTATGGATTCTACAGGAAGCAAAGAAAAAATTTCAGCAAGTTTTTCTTACGAGGACCGGACGACAGCGAAATTCCCTCTCCAGGATGGTGCACCCTTCAACGTATATTCCTACAGCATCAAGAAAATACAGGGAGGAGATAAACTTTAGCAGTGGATAGAGGACACCTTTAAGGAACACCCAGCGTGGCAATATCTCCCTTCAGACCCCCCCCCCTCTGATAGCCTGGAAAAGGGGAGCCTCCTTGCAGGATATGCTACTAAGGGCACGTTTCCCTACTCACCCACAGTATAAAGGAAGAGACCATGAGTAGGAACCAAATCTATTCTAACCTAACCTGGTGCAAACCTGAGGATTTCCTCGTTTTTGACAAACGCATGTGGTTACTGGAGCTTCTAATAATTATGAGGGGGTTGTTTGCTGCTACAGAAACTCAGTACTAAATTTTATCCATAAACTGGGCATCGATGCTGCACTCCCTTTCATTGACGTCTACGCAAGAGCAAAAGGTAACACTTTCACCACATTTGTTTGTACTAAACCCACCAACACTGGAATGTGTATAAATGGTCACTCCAAATGCCCAGACAGATGCAAGACTAGTGTAATAAATGCATCTGTACCCAAAGCCCTTACTCATTATTCTGACTGGCATAACATCCACAAGGAACTGGATAGAAGCCTTCAAGACATAATAAACAATGGGTACACGGACAGAGAAGTCAACACCCATATCAAAAGATATTTAGAAAGATGGTATAACAATACACAATAGCAAACAACCCCTCCCATAAAACTTACAAATCCACTATGAACTCATAATACAAAATAGAAGAATTATTACAAATATAATTTCAAATGGAGTGAAACTGACAGCCCCCAGACCAAAGATTGGAGTTCATTATTTACTACAGAACAAAAACGACTGGTGATTTAATACTTAAGAACAGCCCCAATAAACAATACAATCCACTCCAAAAAGCAAACGTGGTACCGTATACCAATTTACACGCCATGAAGGCGTGTAAATTGATCTTTGAAAAAGTGTAAATTGAAAAAACCTTCGATCTACTTAGATTGGTATGGCCACCACAAAACTTTCAAGACTGACCTGCCACCTACAAGCTGATGTCCCTAGAAACCATATGCAAAGTGTACATAACACAACACTCACTACGAACATGCTAGTAGATAATATAACAATCCTGGCAGAGAAGACTGCAAATACTAGAAGCTATACTCATAAAAGAAAGAGAGAGACCTACCCTAAATATACAGAACAACAACTTGGATACCTTGCTAAACCTTAAATCCAGACCTCACCATACGGCACCGGATAACTACATTTCTACCGTGTTCTCCCCGCCCACCGCCTTACCCAGTGTTTGGCACCCATCCCCATTATTCCCATGTCTCCATGTGTGTGTGATTAATTCACCTTAACCCCCCCCCCCAACTTCACATGAATATTTAAGATAAATTTGCTCTTTGTATATGCATTCCTTACCTGAAGATGTTCCATAGTGGAACGAAACGTTGTAGAAAATATACCCTTTAATAATCAGTTTCTTTCCCATAAATTTCAGTAATTTGATTGCTCTTCTTAATCCCGAGCCAGAAAATTGTTCATTTATTTATTATGCACTCCATACCTATCCCATGGGTACTGGTGGAAAGGATTAGAAGCTTAGAAAGCTTATACTGTAAGATCAACACCACCAGCAATGCGGTCATATCTAACCAAATATACATCTAGATATATCAAGATACATCTAGATATATCAAAATACACCTATATATATACATCTAAATGTACACCTAGATATATATATATATATATATAGTCAAATGCTGAACCTGAGTAGTACACAGGCTGCATTTTAAATACTTGAAAATTCCAAATGCCCTTGTTGGGCTAGAACTTCTGCCCACGTGATGCAAAGCCGAGTGCTGCACCACTGTACCAACACACCACAAAGCTTAGTGCTGTACCACTGTACCACCACACTACGAAAGCATGGGAGTCTTTATGAACGCATTCAACCCCATGCCCGAGTGCACTCAGGTTGTGGTCAACTATTTCATCTAGTCCAGGTTTAGGCCACAAACTAGATATTTGTTATTCATCTGATATTATATGTTCCGTGTCCTGAACGTGGACTAGATGAAATACTTGACTACGTTACCTGAATGCACTCGGGCATGGGGTTGAATGGGTTCATAACGACTAACATGCTTTTGTAGCGAGGTGGTACAGTATTAGGCTTTGTGGTGTGGTGGTACAGTATTAGGCTTGTGGTGTGGTGGTACAGTGGTACAGCACTAGGCTTTGTAGTGTGGTCGTACAGTGGTACAGCACTAGGCTTTGTGATGTGGTGGTACAGTGGTACAGTATTAGGCTTTGTGGTGTGGTGGTACAGTATTAGGCTTTGTGGTGTAGTGGTACAGTATTAGGCTTTGTGGTGTGATGGTACAGTGGTTACCTTGAGGTTACCTTGAGGTGCTTCCGGGGCTTAGCGTCCCCGCGGCCTGGTCGTCAACCAGGCCTCCTGGTTGCTGGACTGATCAACCAGGCTGTTGGACGCGGCTGCTCGCAGCCTGACGTATGAGTCACAGCCTGGTTGATCAGGTATCCTTTGGAGGTGCTTATCCAGTTCTCTCTTGAACACCGTGAGGGGTTTGCCAGTTATGCCCCTTACGTGTAGCGGAAGCGTGTTGAACAGTCTCGGGCCTCTGATGTTGATTTGTTCAGTTCTCTCTGAGAGTACCTGTTGCACCTCTGCTTTTCAAAGGGGGTATTCTGCACATCCTGCCATGTCTTCTGGTCTCATGTGATGTTATTTCTGTGTGCAGGTTTGGGACCAGCCCCTCTAATATTTTCCACCTAGTGGTACAGCACTAGGCTTTGTAGTGTGGTGGTACAGTGGTACAGTATTAGGCTTTGTGGTGTGGTGGTACAGTGGTACAGTATTAGGCTTTGTGGTGTGGTGGTACAGTGGTGGTACAGTATTAGGCTTTGTGGTGTGGTGGTACAGCACTAGGCTTTGCATCACACGGGCAAGGGTCTAGCTCCAACAAGATCATTTGCAATTTTCAAGTATAATATATATACTGTACATATAACCGTATCTATATATGTATGAAAGACAAGAATACATGCCTATCATAACTACTATATCTAAAAATTCAAAACTCAAAATGTTGTATAGTATTCAAACTGGGGTAAAAAGTAGATAATACAGTACAGAAATTTACAAGATTTATGCACATGTCGAGTTAACCATGCGCATTGGAGAAGCCACATCTTATGAGAGTAAATTACAGTACTACTGTACTCAAAAGTTGAATTTTCTCAATAACCATACCTGAGAGGCATTCTGAGCAGTATATGATGCATTCCTGTTTGAGCTTTGGTGTGATAATCCAGGCTGAGAGGGCATTTTTCTGCTTTGTGTCTTTGGAGACGATATCTGTGGCATACTGGAGCCTCCATGGCTGGTGTTGCTACTACAGCTGCTATTCACAGATGAAGATATGCTGCCTGAAGAAATCCATAATCACAAATTTTGACATTTAAGATAAATTCTACCTTCAAAATAATAGCAATAGCTTACCAATCATGCTCTTTTACTCATGTTAAAAGTATATTTGAATGTGAGAGTATAGGTGCTAGTGTTTTATGGTATGCTTGGAAGCTACTGGACAAATTTAGATTCTCTATACTGTATTTTCTATCATTTATGAATTTTTAATATTACAGTCTATATTTGTACAATACAGTCTGCACCTGTAAGTGGACAATTGACTAGATATGTACCGATCACATTACGGCAATGAAGGGAGATATCAACAGTTTAACATAGTACAGTATACCACTGCATAAACAATAACAAAAAGGCTTCAAATGTAATGAAATGCCTCATTCTGGTGGGTCCTTGCTGCCCAGTGAGCTCCACACAATGTAATCGGTAACGGGCTCTTGCAAGTCACACACATGCCTAACCAAGGAAAGGCCACCAGAAAGGTTGACAAATCAAAACAGACGATGCCAAAGAAAACAAAGGATAGAAAATGGGACATTCAAGTCACGAAATTCAGAAACCACTTGGTGGTGAAGCATATCTCATGTTACAGATGAAGAGTCACAATAACGTGACTGAAAAATATTGACCAACCCACACACTAGAAAATAAAGAGAAGATGACATTTCGGTCTGTCTTGGACCATCGATTTAACCACAATTTGACTTTATAATGGTCCAGGACGGACCGAAACGTTGTCATCTCTCTCTTTTCTAGTGTGGTTTGGTCAACTTATGTTAAATTCTGCCTGCACACCACCTGAAGGTTGTGCAAATTTCTCTTCAACCCACAAACCTGGAATCCTCAGTCATACAGCCAGAAAAAAAAAAAGGCTCAAATAGGAAAAGAGAGGGTCCCAGGAAGCCACTAAGGACTTATCAGAAAGAGGCATTTCATTATACTGTATTCAATGTTGGATTATTTTGGAGGGCTTCTAATGGTGGTTCCTTGATGCTGTATCACCATTGAGAAACAAAAACCAGCACTGAAAGTAATGAAACCCCAATTTTTGGATGAGCCCCAGTGGCTTCCTGAATCTGATAGTGCCTAAATACTAGACGTTATCAGTCAGTTTTAGGTCTACTGGGGACCACATGCCAGAACCTGGCCCTCTCTCAAGAGGTGTAGAGAGCAGTAGCATTATGATAAAATTGTCAGTGAATTTTAACAGTGTCCACCACCACCGGGAAAGCACCCACAGTCAGCAAAACAAAACAGACTAATGCCGGTTATAAGGAAATCCAGATGCCCAAAAAAATCACCAAAAGAACTCCCCCCAACAATGTAAACAAATGATCGAAAATTCATGAAACTAGCACAAGCTCGTTCGCTCTACTATCCCCCTCTTTTGGTGTGGGAGGAGAGGGGGTCAGCCAGCTGCTCCACCCTCAGTTCTATAATGATGGAAAACCCACCTCCATTCCCTAGGGAAGCGAGGGTGGCAAGGAGTCACCAAGGCTCACCTAGATATTGTTGTTGTTTCATTATATTCAATACTGGTTTTCTGTGAACTTCCCTAGTGGCTCCCTGAAGCTACCAAAGGAAAAGGAAAACAAGGGGACCTACCAGGGAGGAGGGAGCACCACAGGTAACACAACAGAGAAGAAACCACAGACAGCAACACACCGCCCAAGGCCACAAAAGGCCGACGAGAATCAGGAACATCTACGAGATACCTAGCTGCCAGGACCCTGTCCGACTGCCAAAACCCCAGCACTCGAATATCGACCCAAGACATATTGGCAAACATAGCCGAGAGAGAAGCAAACTTATGAACATCATGAGCACAAGGGTAGACTGCAGGCTGGCTAGACTTAACGCTGTCAACTACCTGAGAAACTTGAGTCTTGGAACAGAGGATCAGCAAAACCAGATAAATCCATAATGAGCCCACTGCCCAAATCAAGATCGGAGGCATCCGTGAAGATGTCAAGTGAAGGAAGAGGAAGGTGTTAGAGAATCGAACCCAAAAAACACGAAGAGGGCGATGCAGCAACCGGCAAAAGGCTCCCAGAGTCTGCATTCAGCGATAGCAGTTGGGTAGAAGAGTTGACTCAGGAGATATCAAAACAGTCTAAATCATCCAAACCGTGCAAAAAGGAAACACATTGAGGGCAAAGTTGAGGCTCCTGCACAGTTGTTCAAGTAGCCACTGAATCACCTGGCACCCGCTCAATACCAACAGACAAGTGTGCTGCGGCCGGGTTAAGGCTGTCAGAGGCAAGGACAGTGATGCCGGCCTAGAATCCCTAACAAGGCCCAGCCAAGTCCAAACCTGACAGAACCAAATGGGACTCCTGCAAGTTCACCAGGAACCAAAACCCAGCAAGCTGAGAAAGAACCAGATCTCTAGCCAGCAGAAAAGCAGCCCAGCTGGGAGCCAACACCAGCCAGTCATCAAGGTAGGCCAGAAGCTGAGCACCAAGAAGGTGAAGACAGGTCACAATGTCCCAGACCGAAGAGCATAAAAACGCGAGTAGCCAGATTATGCCTTAATGGGAAGACCGAAAATGGTAAGCCTGTCACCCAACGACAAAACCTGACCAATCCCTGAAACCAGGATGGATAGGGATGTGCCAGTACAAGTCCTAGAGATCCAGGGAAATCATCCAAGTGAATGCCTCAAGAACGAGACAGACTTGGGACAATGTGGTCATCTGAAAGCAGGGGTAAGTAATGTACCATTTCAACCCGAACAGGTCAAAGATGAACCAGAAAGTCCAGTTTCAGGGCCAGAACAGGTGAGGTCATTTCAACCACCTACAAAGACACCCACTCCAAGATGACTCGACGCAGACAAGGATAGCAGGCCCTGCCCGGAAACACACGACGAACTCCTCTGCAGATCTGCAGACTGCATGTAATGACCTGAAAATCCCACAATCATGGGACTAAGGGCTGGCAAAACCATGCAAGACGGTTTGACATCACCCCCTCCTCCATCAATGGGGCAAATAGCGTAAGGGCAAGCGCAAAAACCCTCAAACCAGACTACCGAAAGGAACGCGCACGGAACTGACTAGACAAAAATAGTACTAGATGAAAGTGCATGCGGCCAAGTCACTGGCTTTGAAACTGGCCCCACCCATATCAACAGAAGGCGATGCTCTAACCCTGCCAAACCATCTCGAAACACAACGACAACCCAAAAGATACATTTTAACAAGTAGAAGTGCTGCCGACAACGACGCAGCGGAGGCAAAAACCACAGCAAGAGCAGTACCACCAAAAGCCCCAACGTCCTCCAAGAGTCAGTCTGAATGCAGCTCAAGGAGTACATGACAGTACACAGGTACAAAGGTCCTCTGCAACAAGCATAGCCAACAACTGAGGAACCTACCTACCTTGTGGAGGTTCCGGGGATCAACAGCCTTGCAGCCCAGTCTCCGACCAGGCCTCCCAGTTAGTTGTCTGGTCAATCAGAATATTGGATGTGGCTGATCGCAGCCTTATGTATAAATTACAGCATGGTTAATCAAGTGTTCTCTAGAGTGTTTTTTCGAGTTCTCTCTTCAATGCCGAGAAGCCAGTTTATGCTTCTTGAGTGTAGTGGGAGAGCATTGAAGAGTTTTGGGCCTTTGATGTTGAGTTCTCGCTCAGTGCACCTATTACACCTTTGCTTGTCAATGGGCTATTTTGCACATACCTCGTTACCTGGTTGGTTGATACCTCGTTGATGGGGTTCTGGGAGTTCTTCTACTCCCCAAGCCTGGCCCAAGGCCAGGCTCGACTTGTGAGAGTTTGATCCACTAGGCTGTTGCTTGCAGCGGCCCGCAGGCCCACATACCCACTGCAGCCCAGTTGGTCCGGCACTCCTTGGAGGTCCGGCACATCCTGCCGTGCATACTGGTTTCATGGGATGGAATCTCAGTTCAGATTTGAAACCAGTCCCTCTATAATTTCCATGTGTAGATTATTATGCATCTCTCACCTGCATGCTAGAGAATACAGATTTAGAACTTTTAATCAGTCCTAATAATTAAGGTGACTGAGTGGATTCTAGCAGTAAAGGATCTTTGCATGCTCTCCATGTCAGCAATTTCTCCAGCTTAGAGAGGAGCTGTCATTGTGCAACAATATTCCACTCTAGAGAGCACTAGCATCTTGAAGAGTATCGAACATCAATATAGTATCTCTAGTGTTAAAGGTTCTTGCTATACCATGTCATTTTTCTTGCAGATGTGACGGCTACTTTACTGTGCTCTTTAAAGGCAAGATCTTCCGACATGAGTACACCCAAATGCTTTACATTGCTTTTTCCATGATGTTATGATTTGACTGCATTTTGTACGTGGTTTCCGTTTTTATATTTTCATTTTTTCCGTAACGCAGAGCTGGAACTTATCTTCATTAAACACCATATATTTTCTGTAACCCACTGAAATACCTGAATTACATCTGATTGGAGGTCTGTTGTGTCCTTTATGTTGTCTACTCTCAAAAATCCTAGTGTCATATGCAAAGGATGATACAGTACCACAGATTGTCCTTGTCTATGTCCAATATGAGGATGAGAAAAAGTAGTGGAGCAAGCATAGTACCCTGAGGGACTGAACTCTTTCACCAAGGAAACAAGTCATTCGCAACCTCAGTAATTAGGGCTATTAACCAATGCACTGTGCACCTGGTTTCAGCATTTCATAGTGCAATTGTTAAGGACATTTTAGATGTTTTTATAAATGTTTACCTAAAGTTAGTCAAAATGTTTCCAAACTCAACTATTTTCATTTAGAAAGTGATGAAAACATTACAAAAAATTAAAATTTAGCCTAATAAAAAAAAAAAAAGAAATAGCATACTCAAACTCAAAGCGCCTCAAGCTGCTCAGCGCAGCATGCTGGTTAACAAGTTCCCCAGAAGACAACCTAGTCCACCTTTCCCACTATAACATCATTACTGTAATGTTTTTCAATTATAATTTTTATTTTTACCTGGCATCTAGCATGTTGAACGAAATACC